ATATATACGAGGAGAGAGAGAGAGAGAGAGAGAGAGAGAGAGAGAGAGAGAGAGAGAGAGAGAGAGAGAGGGGAGGTGTTGATCGAGTGAGTTATCTGTGTGTTTGTACTGAGAGAGAGAGAGAGAGAGAGAGAGAGAGAATGGAGAGAGCGCTGACGAAAGTAGGGAGCTTGAAAAGTAGTACATTCTGGGTTTCCAAAAAAGCCAAAGAAGAGATCTCCAACATCTCTCACGACCTCTCCGTATGCTCTCCTCCTTTTTTCTATTTCCATTTAAGGATTTTCTTTTCTTTGTTTCTTGTTATGTGCATTTATGAATGTGAAATCTGGTTTGCTCGAACAACTCTGCGCCAGGAGGCTAGATTCATACCAACAATTGGTGCTAAACATTGTGTGTTAACTTGCCTCTGGTTTTACTAATTTATTTTAATTTTGGGGCTAACATGGAAATGATGTTCCTTATTAAANGTATGAAATCTTACTTGAGATTCACTTGATATTTAAAGTTAATTACTACCTCAATTAAGAAGGGGAGTATTGGCGTAACTGGTAAAGTTGCTGTCATGTGATTAGGTCACGGGTTCGAGCCGTGGAAGTATAATCTCTTGCAGAAATGCAAGGTAAGGTTGCATACAATAGACTCTCGTGGTCCTGCTCTTCCCCCGACCCCACACACAACGGTAGCTTCGTGCACCGGGCTGTCCTACTACCTCAATTAAGTTTAAACTTAATACTAAACCTTACGCTATTAGGTGCTGCCTTCTGAATTCTGTCATTAGATGGTTAGGTGCTGGAGATTTGTTTCTAACTTTCTATTGTTGTCTGTTTGATGATTCTGATTCCCATTGATATTGGTCAGGTCACCATTACGACTGTCCTTTTGAGGATGATGACACGGACAATGATATTTTTGAAGTCAATGAGAGGAATAGAAGGAGTGAGCGAGCAGTGAGAATAAAAAGAGTTGAAGCAATTAGAAATCGAGATCAATTATGATGACATGAAATTTTTTAACAACCAATAGGATTTGATGCGTGGAGTTATCCTTTGATTAACAACATTTTATATATGTGGTTTTGCCACCCTTTTTGTCATGAGAAAAGCAGCTATTATGTTCAACAGTTGGTATGAATTCTCTCTTTTGGAGTGTGAAGCTGAACATATGAATGCTGTTTTTCCTTATTCTCGGACCATATCTTCTGAATCGACAGCAGTAAATTCTAAAGAAATACATCTATCTCCATTTTTCGGAGAGCGAGGCTGAAAATATATCAACAATTTGTATAAGTTCATACTTAAGATGCTGTTATTCTCTTATCATATCTTTTGGATTCACAGCAGAAAATTCTAAAGAAATGTGTCTGTGTAGCAGAAATTGGCAAGGATTTCATCGTTGTTTACTTGTCCCTAGACTGCATAAAATTTTATATAACATAAAAGTCTAGTCTGTTCAAATAATAAAAATCGACAACCCTGTAACTTGAGCTTTGGCAATTCAGTTTGTTGTAATTACATATGTAAATAAACTTGTAAGTTACCACTTCATCACTCTGCTTGACTTCACATGTTCCAGAATTTGTCGAGCACTGTTGAAGAAAAGGCAAAATGGATTTTCAACAAGTTAAAAGGTATGCTTCTAAAATCAACTTCTGCATTTCTTTCTGCTTATGATTAAATACATATTCATATAGTTTTTTCTTGAGTAAACAGGTTATGTGGTTTTCAAGTTGTTACGTTCACAATTCTTAATTTAACTAGCACATTCGTGTCTTTGGTCCATGTGGATGACAAAGAATGGCTTATTCTGCTAAGAAAAAAATATTTGTTCCACTAGGAGTAAGCAGGAAAGAGTAGTTGTCACTTCTACTTGCAAAGCATTACAGAAATAAACAGTCACTACTGTTACATCTTTCTGCTCTATTCGCTCCAAAAACTGCGCCCCACTTAGTCTTCAATGTGGAGGACAATCTCGTCCCAAAATATTGGTCTTTGACTGGGTTTAGTGCCAAAATGTTGATTCATTCAAAACAGGAAGTAGCTGTCATGAAATGGCTGCAGTACATTGTTGTTTAAGCTTACTCTGGCTAACTTGTACGACTTGTGATGTGATTTTAACTTCTAGTCGAATCCTAAGAGGGTCTGAGGACTGTACAGTTTCCCTGTAAAGTAGAGAAAATATAGATTTTGGGGTGACATAATTCACATCCCCATACAATAGCATTGATATTAAAGGATTTGGGAAAGAGTACTACAATTGTTATGGCGACCCACGCTCCCAACATTTGTCCTTTGGAACTTTTAATAGTATCTCTAGGATGTAAAGTTAGTTCATACACATTTTCAGTTCATATTCTCTGTAACATTTAGCACGCCAATCTGATGCAAATAATCTGTAATTTGCTAGGTAAACCTACAAAATCATTGCCTGATCTCCTGCGAGAATACAACCTGCCTCCTGGTCTTTTTCCCCAAAACATAACATGCTATGAATTTGATGAGTCAAATGCAAAGCTCATTGTCTACTTGCCATCTGCCTGTGAGGTCTGCTTTAAGGATTCATCTGTTACGCGGTATGCTACTCGTGTCAAAGGAACTCTATCAAGGGGAAAGCTCACTGGAATAGATGGAATGAAGACCAAGGTCTTGGTATGGGTCAAAGTCACGAGTATCAACGTCGAGAGCTACAAGTCTGATAAGGTGTGGTTCACTGCCGGAGTGAAGAAATCAAGGTCCAAAGATGCATATGAAATGCCTCGTGATGCTGTTAAAGTTGAGGAATTTTGAGGTTTTGATAAAGAGCAAAAAGTAAAAAATAAATAAATCAAAGAGGATTTTTTTTTTTTTTTTTTTTTTTTTTTTTGTGAAGTTGATGATGGTCACTGAAAACTGCAGTTCTTATGATTTAAGTCATTAGCATATCCATTTAATAGAGAAAGCAATGTGCATGTTCTAATAAACATTTTTAGCCTTCGTATTAACTGACTGAGGACATGACCATGGATAGGAAGATGTGTAGATTGAGAATAAAGGTAAAGGATTAGGTAGCTGAGTGTAGTTCTTGTTTGTAGCGGTAGCTTTGATACATCATTTAGTGTCATTCATGTTTTTTCATATCCCTAGACTTCTGTTATTACTTGGTGTTGCCTTTGTTTCGGTTTTCTGATTGCATTATTTAGTGTTAGTTTTGTATTTTCGTTTTGGTTGTCAGATTGGTTTGCTTGTTATTGCCCTCTCTTTTTTTCTTCCTGAGCCGAGTGTCTACTGAAAACAACTTTTCTGTCTTCTTAAAGGTAGGGGTAAGGTTTGCGTATACTCTACCTTTCCCATAATCCATTTGTGGGATTATACTGGATATGTTGTTGTTGCAGCCTATTAACCGTTGTTTTTATGTGATTGATGGGTACTAAGATGATTATCGAGCACAAAGTGTCTGATCCACGATATTGTCTTTTGACTCTTTGAACAATTTACTGTTAGCTCATCCTACAAAAATTTGATGTACTCTTTTAAATGATCGTTTTAATTGAATTTTAATGCGAAATAGGGTAATATAATGAAATATAAAAATAATTAAGAGGTCTATTTATTTTTTAAAACTAGAGAAGAGATTAAATAAATGCAGTATTCAATTAGAGAAGAGGTTAGGAAAATGATGCCAGGAGCATCTGCATTTTGCAAGGTGATCGGTCAACTACCACTATATTAGAATATTTGTAGGGTGATTATCAATTTCAAGAACAATGACTCCTCTAGCACTGAAGAAGGGACAAACATCACAGATACCTTTAATAAAGTTGTCCTTTGGCTATTTCAGAAAAAACTTTTCTTATAATAAACTGACATTACTTGAAAACAATAGTATAAAATAAATATTAATTTCAAGCAGAAAATAAAATTTCAAGACATTACTTGACAATATATATTATTAATAGGCTGGATAAGATTAGGAATGAAGATATTCGGAAAGGGTGGGCGTGGCTCCGTGGACGACAAGATGCGGGAAGCGCGACTTAGATGGTTCGGACACGTGCGAAGGAGAAGCCTAGATGCACCGGTTAGGAGGTGTGAGCGGTTGACTTTGGCAGGTACGAGAAGAGGCAGAGGGCAGCCAAAGAAGTATTGGGGCGAGGTGATCAGGCAGGACATGACGCGACTTCAAATTTTCGAGGACGTGGCTCTTGATAGGAACATGTGGAGGTCGAGCATTAGGGTGGTAGGCTAGGGGATAGTCGAGAGTTCTTCCCTCTTTGTACCGGGTAGTTTGATAGTGTTTTGTTTAGATTTGTTAGCGGTCTATGTTGTGTTCACATTGTTTTTTGCAAAGTTTTGTGTTATTGTCCTTTCACTTATTCGTTGTTATTATTTTCTTTTTGGCATCTTTTGTTGTTACATGCCTTTCTTTTATTTTTTTCTTATAATTGTCTCTCCTGTTGAGCCGAGAGTCTCCGGGAAACAGTCTCTCTATCCTTTTCGGGAAAGGGGTAAGGTCTTGTGTACATTCTACTCTTCCCAGACTTCACTAGTACGATTTTACTGGGTATATTATTGTTGTGTATGATTAATAAAAAATTAAAGTTATATTTAAATTATTTAACTATAGTTTAGTAATAACTGATAACATGTATGTAAAACATATTGTATACTGTGGGTTTATTAATTTATTGTACCGCGGCGGATAATATTTTGAAAAATTAATCTAAATAGTTGCCCACTAAATTTTTTTAAACTAAAAAATAGCCCACTGATATATGTATATGTTTATATATATAGTTGTATATAATTAATGTATAATCTATGTATACTATCAAAAAGAGTGGAACAATAGTTTCAGAATATTAATAATAATAACAACAATTCAGTATAATCCCAGTTAGTGAGGTCTAGATAGAGTAATATACTTCTTTCCAAAAACTTCTCACCTTACTCTTGGAAAAACTCGAACTCCCAACCTCTTGGTCGGAAGTGAAGTTGATTGCAAGCAACTCCTGTTTAGAATATGGAAAGAAAAATTAACAAGGAGGGCGAATGAAGAGTCAGACAGAGTGATGGGGTCACGTGAGCACGTGACAGACGGTGAAAAGGGATAAGGATGGGAAATTAAAATCGAAAATTCTCACCGTTAGACTGCGTCACTTGAACGCATCGTTCGAAACTCTTCAAGACTAGAAAAGCAAGCCCTCCCTCCTCAGTAGAGCTACATTTAGGATCCTCCTCTCCTTATTTCTCTCCAGTGAATTGTAAATCAACTATGTCGGACGAAGAACACCATTTTGAATCAAAGGCCGATGCCGGAGCATCAAAGACATATCCTCAACAAGCTGGTACTATTCGTAAGAATGGTCATATCGTCATAAAAAACCGCCCTTGCAAGGTCTCTTTCTTTTTCTTATAGTTTGCTTTTATGGCTGTTCCGTTGTTTGGTTATGGTCTTTTGGATCCTAGTTACTATAAACTTTGTTAGGTATTTATTTTCTGTTATTGTGATTTTAAGATACAGAAGAAAGATTTGATTTTTTTTCCGGTTTACCGAGAATCTGTATGATATACTGGAAATCACTATTGCTTTTATTTCGTGTCTGGCTGCAGTCTGTTTATCGATTGGATATAATAGGGTTCTATTCGGTCAATATTTGATCTTCATGGAATTTTGATTTTCCTTTTAGTACTCCCAAGAGTTCATCCATGTTTCAAAATCTAGTGGGAATGACAAGGTTGATATGGTCTGACTACTGTATTTCCTTNATATATATATTAACAAAATCCGATTTAGGGATTTATGGTGTCAAGTGAAACGTTGTTTTTTGCTCAAGCTAGTTGTACATTTAAATAAAGAATCTCGAATGTGTATATAATAAGATCACACCCTTTTAAAAAGATAAATAATAAGATAACACTTATTCTGAACTCACGGACTCTAGATTCTACATTCATCTCTGTACATATATGAAAAGAACAAAAAAGGCTGTATATTTGAATCTAAATATATCCCCTTTATTTACCGAGCTTTGAACCGTGCATCCTCGGGGGTTTCTGGGTTATCAAAAAATAAATGTAACAGCCAAAGTGCAAGTAATATAAGTTTTGGAGATCCAATCTGGTTTTAAGCTTTTGATCACGGTTTGATGTGCCTCCCTTTTTTCCCTATTCTTAGTCATGCTGTATATTCCCTGTTTGGTTTGTAATTGCGAGTACTGATAGGATTGTCGGGTTTTTTTGTTGAAGGTAGTTGAAGTTTCCACTTCCAAGACAGGCAAGCACGGTCATGCTAAATGCCACTTTGTGGCTATTGACATTTTCACTGGAAAGAAGCTTGAAGATATTGTTCCCTCTTCTCACAACTGTGATGTAAATAACTGTCTCTAGACATATCATTTCCCTTGCTGCTTTCTTCTTGTTCTTCTACTTAATTTTTACTAATCGACAATATTCTCTTTGCAGGTTCCTCATGTGAATAGGACTGACTATCAGCTTATTGATATCTCTGAGGATGGATTTGTATGTATTTTGTTGTTGCTTCTACTCTTTTTGTTATTTTGATCTCCTTGTATGTATTTTGTTGTTGCTTCTACTCTTTTTGTTATTTTGATCTCCTTGTTGACGACGACCATCTCACTTGTGATATTGTTTCAGGTGAGTCTGTTGACTGAAAATGGTAACACCAAGGATGACTTGAGGCTCCCAACTGACGATAATCTTCTGGCCCTGGTAAGCAGAATTACAGTTTCTGTTTTGAAACATCAATGTTACGGTTGCTATCTATTTTAAGTTTGTGAACATGAAGATTTAAAGTGAATGATACTTGGACATAGGCTATCATCACTGGAGGAGTAACATATAATGATAAGGTCGTATATTCCTACCTAATGGTTAGGAGGTGCCTGTAAATTTAGATTCCATAAGGCGTTAGCAGATGCTTTGCTTTATTTTCCTTGATTATTCCATGAGCAATCGATTCCTTTAACGTGATCTTAGTATTTGTGCCATAAGCTTGTGTATTTCTCAGATACTCTTATGTTAGAAATAACGTTGTTTTCTAAATGATGAGCACAGATCAAAGATGGTTTTGCTGAGGGGAAGGACCTGGTTCTGTCAGTGATGTCTGCCATGGGAGAGGAGCAGATTTGTGGTATCAAGGACGTTGGCCCCAAGTAGCTGCAGGATGTGGTGGTGTATGTTACAAAGTTTCAAAAAAAGCTGTATCAAAGCTATGTAGAAGTACCAACACTTTTTTACTTTTTGTTGTTCCAGATAACTGCTATTCAACTATATGCTATGACTGGATTCTTGTACCCAGTATGCGTTTCCTGTTTTATGATATTGCAACCTGTTAATCTCGTCTGCATGAAAAGCTCTGTTTCTGCATTATAAAGAGAGTTTTCTGGCTTGAGATGCATACGCCCTTTCCCTTGTTTCGTATTGTGGCCCTAACTCTTTATAGAGGTAATGTTGGTGATAAGTTGAATTAAGTTGGTTAAGCATCTGATCCTGGTGTGGCAACAGATGTATTTTGTTCTGTTCTCTTCTCTTCATAATCCAATTTCATCTCCAGCTTGAGCAATTAAAGATTGCCCAGTTTTGCAGTTGTTTTGCCTTCTCAAAAACTTCATTTTCATTTTAGCAGTTTGTTCTATAGTAGAGGTAGCAGTCTTCTTGGGCGAAAGATTGATATTAGTCCATCTACACAGTTTAGTGTATAATCTATCATCTAAATTAGTGGTTTACAACCGAGTGCATCTATTAAATTAAATATTAAATGGAGGGGTAATTAAAACGTGACAATACAATAGATTATGTCTTCAACCAAGTGCATGTTGAGAAGAAAAAAATGAAAACCATGAATGTGAAATTTAGATCTTGCTGCTAATTTGGAGCGATTTTTTTCCCAGTAAGCCTGGAACACAGAGGGATTGTTTTACTTTTCCCTCTACTCAGGCATCGTTTGGCCATTGCAGTGTTAGTGAAATGCCTTTCATTTGGTGTATTTTGTATCCTCTAGTCTGAACGCAGGGCCAAGGTTGTATTGTGCCAGGGACTATCCTGAACTTTGGCAACAAAATGCGATAAGGAGGATTTGGGCAACCGTTGTGGAACTATTGTAGAACAGTTGAAGTATCGGTCTGGGGAGGGTAATATTTTTATCTCTTATA